GAGGCAGTAGTCAAGAGGGCAAATCTTTAACACTGCCCAGTTGAGGCAGCAGTCAAGAGGGTTAATCTTTAACACTGCCCAGTCCAGAACTTGGCCAGCAGATCAACTTTGTCATGACTGGACCACCTTCACTGGTTTACAACTATTTTGAAAGACCAACAAGCTATTGGATACAGACATACTGTAATCCTCGTTTAATAAAGGAAAGACTTAATTAGTTCCAGTTTGAACAGTAATACTTCACACTTTTTGACCAGTTTTGTTTGTTTTAATTTTTTTTCTCTTAAGACATCTCTCAGATGTTCTCTTTGTCAGACAGCACTAATTATCTGTCAGGAGATAATCCTGTCAATAACCGTGTCGTATTGTACAACTTTTATTATTTGCTTAACTGCTTCGCAATTTCACTTTCTGTTTACAATTTTTGTATGTCTTGCTAACCAGTAATGTACATAAACAAGAAACAAATTATGACTGGACCATCACACTTCCATTCTCAATCACACGGTACTCACGAAATACCCAAGAAATGGCTGCTCAATTGACATAAATTTGTATTTAAACAAGTTATGAAAACTTCATAACAACAACGGAATATTGCATTGTACAGGAAAATACAGTTAACTTCCCCCCTTCTGTTATCCTTTAGTAACCTCAGGATTTGTTAGACCATCATAAACCAGTGACAAGAAAAGAGGCTTTGATGGATTTTATTTGATGAGAAGGGTGCAAGGTTAAGCTGTCAGTTTGCTGTCTGGATTACAGTGTGCTAAGGTGTGAAATGTATGCTGTCAAAACACCCCTAGCCCTGTGTTGGATAGTTTGTGGTTTGTGTTCCAGTAAGTTTGTGTGCTTAGGGGCTGGATTAGGTGTGCACTTCAGCATGTTGTGAATACCTTTCTGTTTACAGACTTTAAATACACCCTCAATGAATGGGGCTTGAAAATGGAATTCAAGGGGTGTCAAAATACTAGAACATACAAGTTTACAGTACTCAGGAATCCCAACAAAAGCAAA